TGGATGACCTTGTTAAAAGGTCGGACGTTAGTAAATCGGTTAAACTATACGCCGCACTCGCGTTATATCATTGTGAATTATCACAAAACAATCAGGGTGAAATGATGCGTCTAGCATCAAGTGACAGCATGGTTGTACCTGATGAATTTATGCGGCGAAAACAAATAAGGCTTTAATATTTTATTTTACATTTCTAATTATATAATTATATTCAAACTAACCACGCTTAAAAACTTTGATAATTTGTAACTAAGTTTATTAAAATATTTAATTTCATTTAAAACGATTTCTCTCAATGGGGAACCTCGTTAGGTGTCAGTAAATTATGCCAGGATAATCTGTAATAACATAAACTATATGATTATATCTACCATTTGAGTTGATCAAACTTGGCCAATATCATCAACCAGTCCCGTAAATAAAATTACAGTCACTTGTGACATACACATTTTGCATAATAAATGACATTATAAATATAAACGGCACTTCACAAATACTTTGATGTCAATTAACAGTCACATTTTAATGCAAAAGTGAGGGTAAGTTTACCGAAAATATATGTCTATGAATTCATATAAAAAATTACCGTATGTTTGAATAGTAATCCATATTTATAATGTCATTTAATATGCTTCCACGCGACTCATTCACTACAGTAGTGGTTATGCGGTCATTAGGAACGGGGTTTCTATTGATAATAACTTGAAAGTCATTGCTATGGGGGTTGGCTGTGGCCGAGGAGGTGTCGGAGGTGTCGGAGGTGTCCGAGCTGTCGGAGCTGTCGTCGGACAGAATTGAGGGCCAATTCCTTTGCACGAAATCAGTTGACGTCCGGATTTGTGGCATAAATACATAACAGAGAAGACTTAACGTCAATAGTATTGATATCGCAATCAAAGGCACATAACGTTTGCATAACTTTATGAATGGAAACGGCTTTTGATAGTAAGTCGGCAAAAGTCCCTCTTTTGTCGACATTATTCACAAACTTTTCGCACAATTTGTATAACGAATTGATTTGTACTCAATATATACACAGTTTACACTTTTTTCGATCAGTTTTTAGTTACAATAAATCAAATATGGATTTTACAAAACTATATGAAAAGTGTGTACATATGTACTGTATTAATAACACTTTACGATAAGATTGGCAAAAGTGATGATAAAGTGATTTCAAATGACTTTATTTAATCATTTGTTTTGCATTTTCATGACATCTTCGTACGACTGCCTCAACAAGTTTGTCGACCACCGCCTGGAAGTCAATCTGTGTTTCACTAAAACCCCTATTAATGCCAATAATATGCGATTAAAACGATTGTATGAGTGATAGCGCGTAAACGTAATGGAAATATACCGTCAAATTAAATAGTTAGTTGCAGTTATTAAAGGCACTCAATTTGACTATTTATTTAATCATATACTGAAACAAATGTTTCAAATATTACTATTTATTTTCAATCATTTATTCATAATATTTATTATATTTATGACTCAATTTTGGTTCCTCGCAAACAACACATATTCTCAACTCAAATGAATTTTTCTAAGCCTATTAAATGCTGTACCCATACTGTACTGTACCGGGGTATATCAAGGGCATCCCAAAGTAAGAATATTGTACTAGGGGGTTTACAAGCAAGTGTTGCCTCAATTATACTATGTTTCACGATAATTATAATAAATCTTATTGATATTTAATTGAATAATTGCAATATTTTTGCAAATTTTAATAATAATAAACAGATGTAAGAGTTTTGATTAATGAGAGGGACGGGGTCTCAATATTCTGTACCCACCTCTGAATGTGTGTAACATTATAGTGTTTTTAGATTAGATTTGATTCAATGATAAAAATCAGTTTGTTTAGCGACTGTATAAATACTGTTCTCGATGTATGTATGAGTTGTATAATAATTGTGTGAATTATTTACACAGGAAAGAGAGCCAATAATAAAAACGATTAAATAAATCAATTCAACAAAAATTGTTTCCTTTCATTATAACAGCACTCGTGTTATATAAACATTTCAAACGACTTATTATTCGTGTATTTCTGTTTAATTGTTTCAAATTTTTATACAATTTCTATTCACTAATTATTTCGTATGAAAAAATTATTAGATGAGAGGTCAATGACAAATAAGTTGTCATTCATTCATACATTATTTATTTATACATTATTTTAATACCGTAAATATGGGACTTTTGACTGAAATTCTGTTATATTATTGCTGAGTTGGTAAAAGTGAGACTATAACTGATAGTTCTTATCATAATTAGCATAAATTATTCCAATATTTGCCACACTAGTGACAGTGAATTTATTCTAGCTAATTAGATAGTTGACATATTCTTGCTCAACTTATCTGCATTATCAATCAGTGACAATGAACTGTAAGTGATTTTATTTGGCACACAATTAATATTGTAGTTTGTTTTGAATATAATAAAAAAATTTTATTTAAGATTTGTCTGAATATAATCATATTTACAGTCTTATTATAATTACTAAATATAATTATGAATTATCAATGGCTTCGCGCGATTCCGTGTCCATAGTGTCGGCCACAGATGGTGTGCCAACAGAGCTCTCAACCACTATCTCATCCCTGCTCTTAGAGTTCAACAACTCTTTCCTGATCTCAGGTGTGATGTGATAGTGAGACTGAACTCTCAACAGTTCCAACAGCGCGTCCTTTTGCTCTGAAGACAAGTCTTGTTTATAGTGCTGTACGAACACAAGTAGGCACTGATGCCAAAGCACCGGTAACTGACGCTTATCATTAGAAAAGCGTAGGAAATGGTAGACCAAGGCGTCGACCACTCGGTACGGGAGGGCATACTTCTTGTTGATGAGTATGTGAAGGAACACAGAGTTGGCGCCCGAATAGTCCATTTCGGCGATCTTAAGCATAGCGGCGCACGAGTGCAGGATCGGGATGTGCTGTTTGGCCATCACTGAGCCTATGATGACAGCCTCCCGGAGCGTACAGTTGCCGGACTCACACAACGGAAGTATAATACCCTTGAAAAAGGCGGCCGATTTGAAGAGCGATTTCCTGAGCGCCTGATATAAGTGGAAATTGAGACGTTTATACTCTTCGATGTCATCCCTGAGTCGCGGCAATAGAATCAGATTATAGAAGCGCTGAGCCATCCGTTCCTTCAGATTAGACGTGAATATACGCGTCGCCGCCATCATTGCCGCCGCTGTCCACCCATCCGGGTCTGTGATCTGCAATATCTGCCACAAACACACCAATTATTCATCAGTCTTATGACAGTCTTATCGTCTGCTCAGCGCATACCTGTTCCCAATTGGCGAGCGCCGGTATTATCTTAAAAGCTTTGGGCAGTTTGCCGCTCCTATACCGCGACAGAACCAGTTTCACGCCTTTGTAGAGCTCAACCACTTTGTCATCCAAGTCCTGAATGTTAATACCCGTGGCGTCGGACAGTTGTGTCTGTATTTCGGTCTCCTTTTCCCTGATCTTCTCAGCGATAACATCGGCCAAAGTCTTGCGTTTCACGGAATCCTTATTCATAAACACTTCTAACGCGCGCTCGTCTTCGCCGGTGATCTCAATCGACTCGTAGTAGTCATCGACCGCCTCATCGGCCGACTCGTTGTCATCGCTGTCCGACTCGTCCTCATCCAAAGGGTTCGTCAGTTTTGTCTTTCGTGTGTCTCGTCGGTCACCACCGAAACGGCTCGTCTGTGGCTCTGAATTGTCGGCCAATTCCTCCTCGAGTTCTGTCTGTTGTTTTCGCGCAGACTTTAGTATCCGTGCCGTCAGTTTCGGATCGATATACTGGCCGTACGTTTGAGACACAAAAACAAAACTCATTATCACTTCATGGCATCAATTGATCCAAACATACATTCGGTCGTTGAGTGTCTTCATCGGTGTCCTTATACTTGGCTTTGTGTCTGTCCTTCGGGGTGACCACCATCTGACCTGACATTTGTTGGTCGAGTGGGCCATTCCTAATGGCTTTCAAGTGCTTCAGTTTCTTCGCTTTACCCATCACTTCACGGATCACTTCCACCAAACTCTGCGGCAAAGTCTAGTGTTTATGCAAAACACGTGTTGTTGTCGTGAATGGCATTTAACTGTTGAGTCAACGCATACCCCGATAGGTGGCATGACTTTGCATTGATTCACATATAACGTAACTTTTTATGAGAGTGGGGAGATTAATGGGAAATATTAATATAACACTTATTAAATTAAAGAACTTTAGGTTATTTCATTGGCAATTTAAGTTTTTTAAAACTTTAAACAGTTCTGATTAATTATATTATTGAATAACATGTTCAATGTATTTTATAAAATTAATTTTAAGTTATAGGGGTAATAAAAATGCTACAATAGTAACGATACAAGTGTTGCTATGGAAACATGTAATCAATGAATGATTGTACAGTAAAAGACACGTCTGTTTAAAGTGCAGTCAAATATTTATCACTGATTTGTACTTTTAATTAACGTTATTATAACATAACGTATAAAACAATTAATCATTTTATTTATACATATTTATTGTTGAATCCAATAGTGATTTAATCGTCAAAACAGTGTTTTTGTGGCAAATTTCAAAACCTCTCATCCATTCATTCATTGAGTCACTCACTCATCCAAAACATGACACAAACCGTATGAATATGTCATTCATTTGTCGCCTTTTTTGACCACTTTTTCTAAACTTTGTTTCATTTGTTTTTCAATACAGAAGTCGACGTCAAACACAGCACTCATTAAATACATTGAAATATATTTAATGACAACTCTTTTACTGAGTTTACAATCTGTCGCTCAATATCAACAACAATACGGTATTTATTACAACCAAATGAGTGTTTATTTGCACTCATCATCACATGAACGGCTTACCACTCATACCACTCAACCATTTAGCTATTAGTTTACGTTAATATTCACTTAAAACCTGTTATTATACTGTCCTAAAGTAGTCAATATAGTAGTGATGAGTATCACTACAAACCCATCCCATGCCTACGGTTGAGTGATATGGTTGTGCCCCTCATTGCTCACCAATGGACTAATGGATTGTTGATTACGACAGGAATGCCTCAACAGGTGCCACAACAAGGCGCCCAACACTCTATCCACTCGTACGGGTCGGGTCAGCAACAACAGGGTCAGTACCAACAGGTGCCACAACAGGGACACCAACAGTACCAACAGGTGGCTGTGAACGGGCAGCAACAGCAACACCAACAGCAACACCCGCCCCAATACCAACAGGTGCCCCAACAGGGGGCTAATGTGCTGCACGACACCCAACGCATACACGACAGACAGCACCTGAAGGAGCACTTGCACGGGGCGGTCGGCGCCGACGACTTGAGTAAGATGTCCGAAGAGGAGCTACAGTTCCACTACTTTAAAATGCATGACAATGACAACAACAATAAGTTAGACGGCAGTGAACTTATCAAGTCTCTCATCCATTGGCACGGTATGCACCACATCATCCCTGTCCCCCATTATCCCGTATAATACGGCTCTTTCTGAACAGCTATTGTCTTATAAAATTTATTTTGAAATTAATTTTTATAATGTATTAAAATGTCAATCATTTGCACAAACAGTGGAGGAGAGCAAGCATTTGGGGGCCAACGCACCGGCCACTGGAACCACCAAAATATTCACGGATCAAGAGTTGGAACAAATGATTGATCCCATACTCGAAATGGACGATAAGAATAGGGATGGATATATTGATTACCCGGAGTTCGTGGCCGCACAGAAAGCCCGTGGTTTCTAATGGACAGTCATTGAGATGTCGGTGCTCTGCAGACGTGTTTGAGATTCTATGGCTCCATTCAAACCGATAGGAAATTGACTCATGAATTGATTGTTTTGTAATACTATACCGCAAATGATTATTTATTCCTAAAAGTTATTTAAATTATTGTTTTAAATAAGAAATAACTTAATGTTTGTTTCAGTAATTTCTATACAATTCCGAAAATTATTTTTTCTTTTATAACTTTTTTCTCAATATTCAGTATTATTGTCTCAAAATTATTTTATATTTGTGTTTTGATTCTCACTTTCTTTTCATTAGATCTGATTTTTTGCCGAGTTTTCAGTTTTACTTAAGTTTTTGTTTACATTTCTGGATTAATTATTAATATTATATAGTTTTTATTTATATTAAAAAAGTATTGATTTATAAAACAAATTATTTTCATTTACAAAATTGGAGTAAAATTAATAAAAGTTTTATTAACCGATTAATTCGTTCTATATTTCTCAAGTTTTTAAGTTGTACTGGTCATTTATTTTGTGTATACAAATTTTGTTACTTTAAATTTTTACTACTAGTAATGAAAAAAATCAAAAACTTGACAATAAATAAATTAAATAACAACCGGTAAGTAAATATTTTGTTTAAATTATGCAACATTGTATGGGAATTTCATAGATAATGAAATTTATCTGTAATTCATGTGACTGATGTAAAACTTGAACTAGCCAATTGAAGTTATTGTTCAAACATTGGTTTCCCTCATAACTGGACGCTAGCTGTAAGATATAATCATAATTCACTATTTCCTTACATTTTGATTATAGTTTACAAAACTGACAGTCATTAAAGGCTATAATTTATAAAGTGTGAATAAACCACATGAAAGTACTTTAGATATATAATTTTTAAAATACTTTTTCTGACAATTGCATACAATGCGTGAAAAACCCATTAAATAACAAATTCCTGTTACCTGTTTGAACATCTTTGTTAAGCCTTTAACTGTCAAATAATATCCTCTTTTAAAGTCTAAATCAATTGTTTTAGTCATGAGAGATGTCTGGGAATGAGTCGCGAGAGTTTGATGTCGTGGTCTTCGGAGCGACAGGTTTTACGGGTCAGTTCGTTGTGGAAGAGTTGACCCGATCGGCGACACAAGAGTCTATCAAATGGGCGATCAGTGGCCGAAGCGGACCAAAGTTGGCTCAAGTGTTGTCCGTCGCCACCAAAGAGACCGGTATTGACGTCACAAACATACCCACCATTGAAGCCGATATCCAGTCGGAGGAGTCGTTGCGGGCGATGACGGCTCGCACTCGACTCGTGTTGAATACTGTGGGTCCGTATCGCTTCTTCGGGGAACAGATGGTGAAGGCGTGCGTAGAGACGGCCACCAGTCATCTGGACATTAGTGGTGAACCCGATTATATGGAGAGAATGCAATTGACGTACAATAAAGCCGCGCGAGATAAGGGTATATACATCGCCAGTGCCTGCGGTTGGGGCTGTATTCCCGTCGATTTGGGCGTTGAGTTCCTGAAGAAGAACTTCAATGGAGAAGTGAATGCCGTCGAGACCTATATATCTGTCAAAACTGGGCCTCAGGTATGTGTGACTCTTGTATTGAATTGTTCGTAATTGTGTGCATTTAATGTGATGTTGTGGTGGTATAGGGCGCCCGAGCCAACTTCGCCACCTGGCAGTCGGCTATCCATGGATTCGGCGCACAATCGCAACTGAAACCACTTCGACGCCGACTATACAGTGAAGTGTTTACTAAACCGCGTCCGCAATCCAAGTTTAGATTGAGTCGAAAGTAATTTTCTTTAAATACTACTCAATATTCATTAATTGTAATCAAATGTCACTTTACAGAACACTACCGTTCCGTTCGGAGTACGCGAGGGGTTGGTGTCTGCCATTCCCGGACGCTGACCGGTCTGTGGTTCAACGCACACAACAGTACCGATACGAGACACTCAATGAAAGGCCCGCACAAATGGAGGCCTACTTTACTGTCCCTAACTTCTTAGCACTGATGGGTCTGCTGTTTGTGGGCGCGATATTCGGGGTGTTCACGTCTTTCCGTTGGGGCCGTTCCCTTCTGGAGGCCTATCCATCCTTCTTCTCATTCGGTGCCTTCAGTCGAGTCGGCCCAACGCGGGAACAGTTGAGAGACACGTCCTTCCGAACCATTATTGTGGGTAAGGGTTGGGCCGATA